AGTCCAGGTACCATGACTGGTGTTTCTGCTTTGCTGCTAAAGATATCTGCAACATGTATTAGTTTATCCTTAGGTACCCATATTTTCTTGGGTCCTGATTTGTTAGTTTTACCAAAATTCTGGTTGAATTTTGGTTTGAGAGAATAATTGCTACTAGTATATTTGATGTCGTGTGTGTGCCCATATACAAAGTGTGACTTAAGTGGAGTTCGTTTAATAACTAAATCCATGGCATTCTTTGGTGTAGGTACCTTACCTTGGTATCCTATTCCCTTTCTGCCATTTCTGCTAACTCCATAGATCATTGAAGCCATTTTGCTTCTATCTATGCTTTTAGCAAGAAACTTCTGAAAGTTGTGATCATACTCCTTGATGATCTCATCAACACTACTTGGAGTTTCAAGAATTGTTTCCTTCTGAGAGTTTTGTAATATATTTTCTAATTTTGAAACTTTATTTTTCAACTCAGAATTTTCCAACTTGAGACTCTCAGTTTTATCAGAGTCAGAAGCAAGATCCCTTTTCAGGTTTCTAAACTTGACTCTGATCTACTGATATCTTTCCAGAATCTCATTAAGGCTTTCAGCTAGTTCAACCTTAGTAAAATTAATAGCAAAGTCAGGAAATACCTCTTCTGTGTCTGATTCAGAGTCTGATTCAGAAGCTTCACTGTCTTCTGATATGTTTGCCATGAGAGCTATGTTTGCTCTCTTATCATCTGATTCTGAGTCAGCTTCAGATATGTCAGAGTCATCCCATGTGGCCATGAGACTTTTCTTCTTTTCCTTGCCAAACTTTCTTTTGGGCTTTTCCTTCTGAAGCTTTGGGCAGTCACTCTTGTAGTGTCCTTGCTCGTTGCATTCATAGCAGATGATATCCTTGTTGTTTGGCTTTCTTCTTCCTGAAGAGCCTTCAAATCTTCTATGTCCAGAGGAGGATTCTGACCTTCTGTATCTGGAGGAGGGTTCGTTCTGGTTCTCAGATCTTCTGGGATTCCTGAACTTTCTTTGCCTCTGCTTCCACAGTTGGTTCACCCTTCTGGAGAGGAGAGACAGTTCATCTTCTTCTGATGAGGACCCATCAGAGGTTTCTTCAACAGCCTGCAAAACCTTAGAGTCAGATTTTCTGTTAGATTTTAGAGCTAAAGGCTTACCTTGCTTTTGAGGTTCATCAGCTTCCAGCTCTATCTCGTGACTTCTGAGGGAGCTGACAAGTTCCTCCAGAGAGATTGTATTGAGATCCTTAGCTAGCTTCAGCGCTGTGACCATTGGCCTCCACTGTTTTGGCAAGCTTCTGATGATCTTCTTGACATGATCAGCAGTAGAATACCCTTTGTCCAGAACTTTGAGACCAGCAACCAGAATCTGAAATCTTGAGAACATTGTTTCAATAGATTCACTTTCTTCCATCTTGAATGCCTCATACTTCTGGATGAGCGCAAGAGCTTTAGTTTCTTTCACTTGAAGGTTGCCTTCATGCGTCATTCTGAGAGAATCAAACATGTTCTTAGCAGTGTCTCTGTTTGATATTTTTTTCATATTCAGAGTAAGAGATAGCACTGAGAAGAATAGTTCTGGCCTTGTGATGGTTTTTGAAATCACGCTTCTGTTGATCAGACATTGCTTTCCTGTCAATCTTCTGACCATTTGCATTCACTGGGTGCGTGTATCCATCTGTCACCATATCCCACAGATCAGCATCGTGGGCTAGAAAGAAGCTTTCAATTTTGTCTTTCCAGTAATCAAAGTTCTCTCCATCAAAGACTGGAGGTTTGCCACTGAATCTGTCTCTTTCTTCATTGTGGTCATTGCTGATATTTTGATGTTGTCCTGCCATAGTTTTTTTCAATGCTGGATCTTGTACTGACACGGTTAAGTGTTATGAACTCAGAACCAGGCGCTCTGATACCAATTGAAGAAGTGAAAAACACAAGAAGGGGGGTTGAATTGTTGAAACTTGAAATCAAATGCAGACAACACGTTATTTTTATCCTGGTTCGTTTGATCTCAAACTACTCCAGTCCACCCGTCAAGGTGATTTCGCCTCTCTCCAACGAGGTCTTAATCCACTATATTCAACTGAATACAAAACTGCTTTAACAACTGCTAAAGCCTTCTTGAGTCTAAACCACAGACCGGTTTCTCAAGGAAATTCTTTCTTATAGATAAATGAACTATTATGTGTGTTTGATGTTTTCTACAAAAACTATATATCACAACTGTGATAATACACAAAATGAAGCTTAAGTGAAACTAGATTGCTAGAACTATAGAGTAAGCAATTTGAGAGCTTTAGCAAACTATATGAGTGAGGATGAAGATGATTGACTTTTAGGCGTGTAGAGTATTGTAGAGCATTAGTCATTTCACTTCTCACTGATTTGTTTAAATACTTCTTGGAAAAGATACGTTGATGCCAATAATTCCATTTCAATGCTCATTACGTTCTTTCCATTTTGAGAAGATCTTTGTCTTGGAATAAAGTCGTTGGTAATTAATCTGCCTTGAATGCAGTACCGTTGACACTTCAGAATGTTCTGCTTGATTAAGATCAGAGTGTGTTGGCTTTAGCTTATTCTGAATGTTTCTGAGTGCTGATGACATAGTTAGGATCTTGATCAGAATCAGAGTATGTTGAGCACAGATCTTGTTCATCAGACTACAGCGTAAGCATATGTACTGATCTTCTGATGTGACATATCTTCTGATGCTGATGTTGATATTCTGATATTCTGATGTTGATTCCATCAGAGTTTCCTACAAATACACAACATAATTTTAGGTAGCATCTATGTCATATATAAAACTCATAATTCATTTAATCTTGTATTTTGTTATCATCAAAACTCTAACTGAGGGTTGTAGAATCAAACTATGTTCTAACACTTATAGATTCGATATCTTTTAAAATTATGCAATTAGAATGTGCACTTGCAGTTACTACATCTGATAGACTCTTAAAGTCGCGATCATAGAACAACTTGAGCGGATCCCGTGGAGTACCACGAATATGGGGGATGCTAATACCTTCCCGTTGCATAATCGACTCCTTTACCCGATCTCTCGGTCGCATGACCGTGATTTCTCCATTCTCAGGTTTTCTTCGATGTTTTCCTTTTCTTCTGTGGGATAAATAAATATTCGATAGTGACTTCATTGTTTCGATGATTTCAGCCGGTTGTTTCAGGTAGCATTAAGATTCGATACTTTTAGTGAATATTAAACATAAATCTATGTCTAACATTTAGAGTTTAATAGTTGTTATCTTGCATCGAGATTAGAATCGTATTTTCCAATATAAATTTAATCCATGAAATAAACGGTAAAACAAAGATAACAACGATAATGATTCAAATATAAATTGCATATAACATCATGATTAAAGAAAATACACATTATTTCGACGAATTACAACCAATCCTAACAAGAGATGGATTTAACTACTCATGGTAGCTAGAAGCGCAAATGGAGAATTGAGTTGAAACAACGTCAACGACGATTTCTCGACTCTCGATGCGAATCCACCTCCTTGTCCTTACAATCTCCTTTACACCTATTCTACTGCTATTACAGATGATGTATTATGCTATTACAAGTGATAAAAACTAGAATGTCTAAACTGAACTGAGCTATGTCCCTTTTATAGCAATTTTGACCGCCTGAGTTCGCTAAGCGAATTATACTTCGCTAAGCAGACTATTCTTCTTCATTAAGAATTCAAATCAACTTGTCTTCAGAAAACCGCCAAAATTCGCTAAGCGAAGTGATGCTCGCTTAGCGAAATTACTTTCTTCAGCCTGAAGTCTTTTCAAAATATTTTTCTTTGATCGCCCTGTTTCGCTAAGCGAAGGCTCGATTCGCTAAGCGAACTTGCTTCGCTGCTCCTCGCTGCTAGCGAAATTAGCTGATTTGCTTCTGCCTTCACTTCGCTAAGCGAACTGTTCGCTGCAACTTTTGCTTAGCGAAGTACCTGTTTTCTTATTTTTCTTTAAGGGGCAAAACCTACACCAAAGATAATAAAACCAAAGTAGACTTGCACATTATCACTTGTATTCATTAGTTGAGATTTTTATGTTAAAAATTTGTTATTTAAATAAGATAAATGCTATGTTTTAATAGGACATTTTAACATGAATTAAACATTTATCCAACTCTCTCCAACTTGAATCTTTATTTGTCCTCAATCAAAGTAAAACAAAAACAAGAGTTTCTATATCAATTTTCACATGATCAACACATGATCAACAAAAACATTTCAATGAAAAAGTCAAAGCACATGGTTTTTTGAAGTTGCACATCCAAGTGTTAATGCATTATTACATCTTTTAGTAATGTTAACAGTCATTTTGATTTTTTTTTTTAAATATGAAGACAAACTTATAAAACATAAAAGGTTAATAATAATCAATTTAATATTCTTTAAATTTAACTTTAAAAAAATACTTCATGATTTTTTATTGTTTTAACAGTTGTCCGTTCCCAAAACTTAAATCATCTTATTCTAAAATTTTCTTAGACTCTTAAGAGTATAAAAGATTTATTAGTGCCGGTCTTATTTAATAATAAAATTTTCCAATATCTTAAACAAAACTACTATAAAATGGTCTGGGCAACATTTTCCCTAAATCGACCAACATCTTTGATCCGGTTATCCTTACATCATCACATGATCTAACATAACATGCTACTCAAACCAAATATCAAACAGAAAGTGTAGGACCAAAAACATAATTTGACCGGAAGCAAACATAATTTGACCGGAAGCAAACATAATTTGCCAATAAGGATTTTAATCAATTCTATACCTGCTACGAGAAAATTAGGACAATGTCGAGTACATAGTTTCAAAAGAGAAGAAATGGCAGAATTAATCCGAAATACTATATGATAGGGTTATTATTCTTTATATATTCAATGAACCTTTTTACGTCTATGTGCTTCCAACATCTTACATTGGATATTTCATATAAGCTTCACAATGATCATGACCCTTTAGTCAATCTACAACAGCCTTTCAAGAGCTAAGTTTTCATCACCACCAACGGCTTCCAAAATACTCCTTACTTGAGCTTCAGGAAATCCCATCTCAACCAGTTTCTGTACCTGAAACAAAGTTGAATAGAAATTGCATTATGAAACTTCTTCAAACAAATATCATCATAATTAATACCATTAGCAATGGAAATAATATCATTACTATAAAGTAGCTTCAATTTAACATTTTCATGCTTACCAAATAAAAAGCACAACATCAATGTTCTTAAACGGGTTATGCATATCAATAACAATTTTGGTATAAAAGTAGCAGTGTAAATACAATAATATTCACTAGAGCATTATCAAATTTTCTTCACTAACGTGTTTAACAACAAAAGACATAAATTAATGTACAAATTTCACAAATATATTTTTTCATTTTTTTAATCGCTTTTTTCATCAACTACATTTAAGGAGTTGTTCACATGGCACGCAACCTACACAAAAGCTACATGTTACCTACATGACAAAAGAATAGATTTTTAGAGAAGTTGGCATATTCAAAGACTAATTCATAAAAACAGAGTTTCAATGACCAAAGTAAATATACAATTTACTACTTTAGGAGATTAAAATATAAAATATGTCTACTTTTAAAAAGGTCACGGCAGGTAAGATCAATTAAAATATAAGTGTATGTTTGGATGGCCATCTACTTGATCAAAATCACGTTGAAAACCCACATCAACTCAAAAGCTCCAAATAGTAGCTTCGTAACTTTCACGTTTTATTGCATTGGGATGTGGTTTTTAACATGATTTGGTTTTTTAACGTGAAACCAAACACATACTTAATGACGTGCTTCCAAATTCCAAAAAATAAATGTACCAAGTTTGTTACCTTATCTTCAACTCCACGAGATGATGTCTTGGCAAAACTTTCTGTCCAGTAGCGAGCAGTATTGACAAATGTCTGATAGTCTTTGAGGTACTGCATTGCCCATAGATAAACAATGGTTTATATAGAATGACATATCGACTCAAGAAAAACATGCAATACCAATAGAAGTTGATCTAGTAGAAACTTAGACAAGCATAACAGTATTCAATATATTTTGCTTTGTTAGTTCCACACCCAAAACATATGAGAAGAAGCATTTCACAAGAGTAAAGATACAACTACACAAGAAAGAATCAGACCTGCTGTGCCACAACAGCATCTTGAGGATCATCAGGCTGAGGAGCAGAAAGAAGTGCTTGCACAGAAAGTAGTGCAGTCTTCAGAGTCAGTGCTGGGCTCCACTGATCTTTCAAGATGTCCAAGCAAATAGCTCCACTTTGGCTGCTGATGTTTGGGTGCCTTCAATGGTTATATGCATCGCAAAATTAATATACCGAGCATATATATTTATTCAAGACTAATGCACTAAGTGCCACATTTTCAGTGCACAAGTAATTAAATTGCTCATATTATAAATCCTAAGATAGAAAATAGATTCAACAATCATCTTCTTCTTTAGGAGCCTGAACACCTAATGATGAGGCAAATGAAACAAGCACGAGAAGGATAACTGCCAGATTGGTAATCAGGGAGAGATGGTGAAAGGCAAAGATTAACAAAAGATGACATACAAAACTCGTCATATCAATATTTTGAGGCCAAATACCACACTAGTAGTGTCACACTAAACAACACCATATGAAAAGGACCAGCATATTAAGCTTCTCTGATAGGTTTAGAGCTTACATTGGCATCATTATTCAATATCACATTTCTATATCACACACAAATAAAGGATGGTCTTAAAATGTCAGAACAAATTATTCAAGACAGATTGAAACCCTAGCATAAAATGTCAGAACAATTTCTATATCACACACAAATAAAGGATGGTCTTAGTGCAATTTGGGAAGCTAGGAATGGTGTAATCTTCAAAAATCATCTTATTCCTTTCAACTCAATTTGCTCCAAAATTTTGGCACAAGTTAAGCTTACTAGCGGTAAATCTACTCTAACTTCTAGAGCCTCTATTGAGAACTTTGTTCTTCTTAAAGCTTTCAACACATCAATCCATCCTCACAAGGCCCCTACAATCAAAGAAGTGATTTAGAGTCCTCCTTTGCTTAAGGTTGGATCAAGTGCAATATTGATGGAGCTTACTCTTCCAATCCTTCTTCTGCAGGGTGTGGACGTATTTTCAGGGATCATAATGGTTATGTCATTTCTACTTTTGCTGATCATTTATTGTGGGATAGCTCTCTTTTAATTGAATTTAGTGGTGTCATGAGATCTATTGAGATAGCTAGAGATAAAGGTTGGTCTAGGCTTTAGGTGGAATTAGACTCTTCTTTAGTTGTCAAGGCTTTTGCTAATAGCAACTCTGTTTTGGTGCCTTGGAAATTAAGGAACTGATGAAAATCTAGCATTAGAACGATTGCTAACGTGTCTTTTATCATTTCACACATATTTAGGGAATGAAATAGTTGGGCAGATTTTTTTTCCATCATAGGCCACACACCCAATTCTTTGGTTTATTTTGATTACATTCCTTTGAATGTAAGGCAAGACTATGTAAAGAATAGGCTAGGTTTGCCTTTTTTTTAGATTCAAGTCTTATTGTTTGAGTTTTGGCCTAGTCCCCCACTCCTTTTTCTGTATCAATCTTTTTTATTGGAATATACAAGTCCTAAGCAAAAAAAAAAAAAAAAAAGATGTTCTTCGAAGAGCTTATCTTCAACCAAATCCAAAATTGTATCATGGGATTACACTATAGATTTCCAGGAAAATAACAGCATGTCAAGTAACAAAATGCAATAGTTTTAAATACTAACAAATTAGAAAAGTGTGTTTGGTTTGCTTGTATCATTCCATCTAGTTTCATGTTTTCAAGAATGTTTAAAGGAAATGTTGACACTAATACATAAAATCTTGAAAATAGTAAAAAAGTAGCATTTTTATGGTTATGAGTAAAAACATCTCAACTAAAAAAGAAAATAAAGAATAAACTGTAGTAGACATCAATGAAATACAAAGATCCCAATAGATCAGCATCATTAAGGAGAATCCACAGGGTGCAGCGGCAGATTTTAGCAGGCCACAAATTCACTTAGTTGAACAAATAACACTGCCCGTCACATACTCCACAATCATACTCAACTAAAACCGAAAACAAAGAATAAACCACAGTAGACATCAATGAAATACAAAGACTTCAATAGATCAGCATCATTAAGGATATTCGATAGGGTGCAGCGAGCGGCAGATTTTAGCAGGCCGCCAATCCACTAAATTGAACATATAACACTGCACATCACATACTCCACAGTCATATCCACTAAAATGAAATACAAAGATTTCACAACCAACAACCAAACATTATCCCACTAAGTGGGATCGACTACATGGATCAACTCTCGCCATAGTATTATATCCAGGACCATGCTTCTATCCAAATCGTTAACCTCAAGGTCTTTTTTAATAACTTCTTTGCTATAGGTGCTACATAGACCACCTAAGTCTATTTTCCATCATCTTTCCTCCTATAAGTGCAACCCCAACACTCTCTAATATTGTCATTTCTAATTTTATCTTGTCTAGTCTTACCACACATCCAACACAACATTCTCGTCTCTGCTACACTTACTTTATCAAATAAATATATGCATCATTAAGGAGATACAATAGGATGCGGCACAGATTTTAGCAGGCCACCAATTCATTGGATTGCACACTTAACACTGCCAATCACATACTCCACAGTCTTACTCATGTAAAACTTAACCACTATGTTCAGTAATCCAACAAAATTCATTTATCACAAAAGAGAGTTAGAACAGAAACAACATATCCATACCAGACTTTGGTTGTAAACTTCATCTTTGGGGGTTCAAATGGATATCCATCTGCAACAAAAGTAACAAAAACAAATCATCATTGATGATAACTTTTTTTCATAAAGCAATATACAAAACAACCGCCACAATCAATCTTCAACCCTGGCTAACTCCAATTGAAAAACAAGAATTGGGGATTAATCAAGAAAAAACGAATACGAATAGTTTAATACCAGGTATTGTGATTTCAATCTGAAAAACACCCCCTTCGTAAGGAGTTCCGGTAGGTCCAGGAATCGTTCCGATCAAGTTAACGAGATTATCACTTTTAGGGCTAACCTGAATCCCCGATCCGGCAGCGTCTTTACGGCATTCGACAAGCTCCTTCTGAACGCGAGAAAAGTCTATCATCTTGAATCTGAAAGAATGAAAAACCCTAAAACTCAGAACGTGTGAGCGAGAATTAACAAAGAAATGTGAAGGATTAGGAATATAAAGAAATGAAGAGGAGGAGGAGAAGAAGAAACGGTTTGTGACCTTCGTCGGGTGCGGCACAGAAGAAGCTAAGAATAAAGCGCGTTTGTTGCTTTTCACTTTTTACTTACTCATCATAATAATACTAGTATTAGTAGTAGTGAGTGGCCAGTGCTTTTTTTTTTTTTTTTTTTTTATAGAAAACTACATTTCGTTAGTTATTTTTTATTGGAAATTTATATACAGTGATAAGAGCCCCGAGGTTGCAATTATCAAATTAGGATGTGATCTTATGAACTCTTTTGTAAGATCAAGATTTTTTAGGAACACCAATCTTGCATCAAATATCACATCTTTTCTTCAATCTGGTCCAATATTATGCCTTAATTCATTGGAATCAATGGTAACTCTAAATGGTTGGTTGGTATAAGCTCTAGAATCAACTTTTGATTAGATGAATGGTCTAATGGTGTCATTAGAGAACTTTTCAACATTCCATCTTAGAATTCCATCTTAGAACCAGACTTATTTAAAAACACATGTAAAAGACTTCATTTCTAATGAAAACACGTGTGTTCCTCTTTACCTCTCGATTATGATGCCTAACTTCTTCATTAGATTAACAAAATCATCATTTCTATTGTGAATGGGGGAGGATATACTGGTATTTAAGGATATGCCTACCAAGAAGTCTTAGACATACTGTTGAAGCACAAGAAAGATAAAAGACAAAAGGAATATTTATTGATAGCTTCAAAAATAAAGATTTATAATTAATTACAATAACTTACTTCACTAGACTATTTATACACACAAATTAAATCTAAAATATATCTTCTACAAAGATATAAGAAGATCTAAGATTTATATCTTCTAACAAAGACATAAACAATCCAAAAGATATTTCTAAATATAAATTAATATCTAATTAAATCTAAATAAATTCTAACACCATCCCTTAATTTATATTTACCCAAAACTGACAATGCCAATTTCATCCCTTAATCCAAAAAATTGATCAGTTTTGATAGTCTTTGTCAGAACATCTGTCAGCTGCTTCTGGGTGCTATAGTGCACAACCTCTATTATTCCATTATGAACTTGATTCCTCAGAAAATGATACTTGGTCCCAATATGCTTGTTTCTCCCATGCAACACTAGATTCTTGGCAAGATTGATTGCAGACTTGTTATCAATCATCAACTTCAGAGGTTTATTTACCTCAATCTTCAGATCTTTCAGCAAGTTCAGAATTCACACAGCTTGACATGCAGTCAGAGCACCTGCAATATATTCAGCTTCACGGGTTGACAGAGCAACAACAGGTTGCTTCTTAGAACACCAAGAAATAGGACCTCCCATAAATTTGAATAAGTACCCAAAAGTACTTCTTCTGTCAACTCTATCTCCGCACCAATCAGAATCAGAATAACTCAGAAGTTCAGATTCGAACTTTCTTTAAGACGGAAATAACACTCCATATTCCAGAGTTCCCTTCACATACCTCAAAATCCTGACTGCAGCTTGGTAATGGGACCACTTTGGCTTGCTCATAAATTTGCTAACCATTTCAACTCCATAGCAAATATCAGGTCTGATATTACACAAATACCTTAGAGAACCAACCATATGATTGAAGGTTGTAGCATCCACATCCTCTCTATCAGAATCAGAATCCAACTTCTGATTCGTATCAACAGGTGTGATAGCAACCTTGCAATTTTCTAGCTCAAATCTCTTCAGAAGCTCTAGTTCATACTTCATCTGATGTAAAATGATTCCTTTCCCAGAGTACATAAATTCCATCCCTAGAAAGAAACTCATTTTTCCAAGATTTGTCATCTCAAATGCATTCATCAGAACTTTCTTAAACTCAACTATCTCTTGTTCAGAACTTCCTGTGAGTAATATGTCATCAACATACAAATAGACCATAATCATATTACCTTCTGAAGTATGCTGAACATAAACACCATACTCCATCTCACATTTCTGAAACCCTTGTTCCTTAAAAAACGAATCAATTTTCAAATTCCAAGCTCTGGGAGTTTGCTTCAATCCATACAATGCTTTATGTAATTTGAACACCATCCCTTCCTAATTCTTTTTCTCAAATCCACGAGGTTGTGAAATGTACACCTATTCTTGTAATGGACCATTCAGAAATGTAGATTTTACATCTAAATGCATCAGAGGCCAATTCCTGTTAGCAGTTATTGCAATCACTAGTCTGATTGTTTCATGTCTCGCCACAGGTGCAAACACTTCAAAGTAATCCAGCCCAAGCTTCTGTAGAAAGCCACTTGCTACTAATCTCGCTTTGTGTTTTCCAATTGATCCATCTGGCTTTAGCTTCTGCTTGAAAACCTATCTGACGCTGATGGCTTTCTTGCCTTTTGGAAGTTCTGTCAACTTCCAAGTCTTGTTTCTCTCTATAGCATCAAGTTCTTCTTTCATGGCCTGTAACCAAACTTGCTGCTTAAGAGCCTCTTCCGTACTCACGGGTTCAAAGTCTACTAACATTGCACACTGAATAACTTCTCCTTCAGAGTCTACTTCAGTTTCTTGCAACATGTCAAACTCTGCAAATCTTCTTGGGATGCTTCTGACTTTTTGTTGCCTCTGAACTGGACCTTCAGAACTTTGGACACCAGAACTTTTCCCTTCAGAAGCACTTGCTTCAGAAATTGGAATTTCTCCAGAACCTTGACTGTCTTCAGAGTTTGGATCACCATCGGAGTCAGAATCATCTTCTCCTTTTGTATCGTCTTCAGAGTTATAGTCTTTACCAGCTTCAGAAACATGTATTTCTGACCTTTCTTCAGAAGTTCTGTCATCAAAGTCAGGGCGAGACTTTTCCCAATTTCAAACTTCTGATTCCTCTACAATGACGTCTCTGCTGAACTCAACTTTGTTATTTTCTGGACCATAAAGTTTGTACGAACCTGTACTGTGATACCCTACCAGCAACATCACTTTACTTCTATCATCAAGCTTCTGTCTTTTGGCTTCTGGGATATGTTTGTAACATACAGAACCAAATACCTTCAGATGACTAACACTTTGCTTATCTCCAATCCACTTCTGAATAGGAACTATTTCCTTTAATTTCTTTGTTGGACATCTATTGAGCATATAACATGCAGTTGCAACAGCTTCTCCCCATAGAGTATGAGGAAGCTTCTTCTCTTTCAGCATGATTTTCACCATATCTAGCAAAGTACGATTTCTTCTTTCAGCAAGACTATTGTGTTGAGGAGTATAGGGAGCAGTAACCTCATTCTCAATTCCATTCTCCTCACAGAAACTTCTGAATTCTGTAGAGTTATACTCACCACCACCATCAGTTCTAAGAATATTCAGAGTCTGGTCACTCTGATTCTCAGCCTTCAGTCCGAACTTTTTGAATTGAGCAAACACCTCGTGTTTGAACTTTATGAGAGATACCCATGTCATTCTGGTGAACTCATTAACAAATGACACAAAATATTTATTCTCTCCAGTCGATGCTACTGGAAACGGACCGCACACATTAGAATGTACTACTCCTAAGGCATGTTTTGCTCTTGGAGCTACTTCTGATGCAGAGGGTAATCTTGGTTGCTTCCCTTTCATGCACACCTTGCATGACTTTTCAGGCTTCTTGATTGTAGGAATTCCATGTACTAGATTCTTTGATTTCAGATGCCTTAAACTTCTGAAATTCAGATGACCAAATCTCCTGTGTCACAGCTCACTCTCCTTAACAACATTTGTTGCACTAAGACATTCTGAGTCTGGAGTTCTAAAATTCACCTTGAATGTTCTGTTCCTTCCTTGCTCTGACTCCATAATCAGCTTCTGATTACAGTCATGCAGCTTCAGAAGATTGTCCTTCATGGTAACTGAAAAACCTTTCTCAACCAGTTGTCCCACACTCATCAGATTGATTTTCATGCTAGGTACATACCAAACATTCTGGATCACTGCTGCTTTCCCATTGTTTAGAATGATTCTGACATTTCTCATACCTTCTGCATTGAGGTATTTATCATCAGCCTATCTGATCTTTGTACTCTTCCCAGAGTCAAAGTCAACCAACCACTTCTTGTTTCCAGTAAGATGGTTTGAACACCCTGTGTCCATATACCACCATTCTGATGAATTCAGATCATCAGGTTCAGAAGCCAACAATAGCACAGGTCCATCATCAGACTCTCCTCTTGCTATATTTTCTTCTTCTGACTTTCTTTCTTTGTTGGACCAGTAATCTCTGGCATAGTGACCAAAGTTCTTGCAACAGTAACACTAAACATTCTTCTTGTCAGACTTCTCATTTCCATTCTGGACATTCTTCTTCCTATCAGAGTTTGAAGCTTCTGAATTTTGACCACCATTAATTTTCTTCCTGGATTCTGACCAAGTCTGCTTTTGATGTTTCTTACCAGAAGTTACTTTCATAGCATGTTCCTCTACTTCCCTCTCATAAGTTCTTGCAGTCATACTCAACTCATGTGCCTCTAGACTACTTTGCAGCTCTTCAAATCTCATGATGCTCAGATATTTAGAATGTTCAATTGCTACCACAATGTAATCAAACTGAGAAGTTAAAGATCTCAAGATCTTTTCAATGATTACTTGTTCAGACAAAGTTTCTCCACAAGCTTTCATCTCATTAGTGATCATAATCACTCTAGAGATGTATTCAGAAACCTTCTCATTGTCCTTCATGTTGAGATTCTCATATTTCTTTCTGAGAGACTGAAGCTTCACCTTCTTCACTGTTACGTCACCACCGTAACATCTGACCAGTGTGTCCCATGCAGCTTTCGTTGTTTAAGAATCATCAATCTTCTCAAACACATTCGCATCCATATATTGATGGATGTAGAACAATGTCTTCTAATCTCTCTTCCTCAGCGCCTTCTGTGTTATCTTCTGAGTCTCTGTTACATCTG